AAGATATATTAAAAAAAACACACACACAAAAAAAAAAACACACAAGCTGAGACCACTCAGACCTTGAGAATCCACGAAGAGCCCAGTTATGCCAGCACCCAACCACCTGAGTACTGTAATCCAGAGGAACCACACACCACAGAGCAGTGATGAGTCCAACTCAGAGTCCTGCCCAAATTGCAGATTTATGAGTAAAATACAAGGCTGTTGTTTTTAAGCCACTAAATTTTGAGGTAGTTTGTTAGGTACCAAGAGGTAAACAGAAGTAAATAATGCTTTCAAATCCCTGACTAACAATAAAAGGAAATAATCCGCCGAAATTGGTTTGGCTCAGTGGTAGAGCGTCGGTCTGCGGACTGAAAGGTCCCGGGTTCGATTCCGGTCAAGGGCATGTATGTTGGTTGCGGGCACATCCCCGGTGGGGGGTGTGCAGGAGGCGGCTGGTCGATGTTTCTCTCTCATTGACGTTTCTGGCTCTCTATCTCTCTCCCTTCCTCTCTGTAAAAAAATCAATAAAATATATTTTTTTTTAAAAAAAGGTCCTGAGTTCGATTCTGGTCAGGGGCATGTGCCTTGGTTGCGGGCACATCCCCACTGGGGAGGAGGGAGAGGAGCAAGAGGCAGCTGATCGATGATTCTCTCTCATCGATGTTTCTACCTCTCTATCCTTCTCTCTTCCTCTCTTAAAAAACCTAAGGGGGGAGGGGGGGAGTGAGCCCTGTTATAACAGATTTGGTTAGAATTTGAAGCAAATCAGTCATCAAATTATTATAAATTACCAAACCTGAACTGAAGAGCTGTAGTATACGCTGCCACTGATGGATTTGGCATAGAAAAGATATACTATAAACTTGAATACAGGGAAGGAAAATACTTGTTCAGATTACCTTTACTGGTTTGATAATAAGCTCTGGTTCTATATAAGTGCTTATTAGTATTGCTGCAAGGTGATTAGGCTAAAGGAGAGCACCCAATCAAATCTCTGTTATTTGTTACAGGCTAGTTCTTAAACTTCTTGAGGGATCATGTATGGGCTCTTTCTCACTAAAATACACACATACACGAATACTCACAAAACATTCCATACTTTTTTCCTGGATTTTCAGCCTTTGGGGTCCATGAACCTTGGATTTAAAACCTGTTTTAGAGGAGCATTTGATAACGATCCAACTTTCCATTGGATAATGCTGGAATTATTAAAAATTATAATCAACTGTTTCACTCAAATTCCAAAAACATTCATATTTCATTAATTAATGGAGAACCCAGAAATTTAAGTCCTGTGTGAATTTAATGTCTACCTAATTTAACCTGAAATTATTATTCAATTTCGGTATCTTAGCCCCAGACAATAACTTCCTGAGAGGTGCCTGAAAAACTACAACGTTCTAATAAAACTTCCTTTAAAGAAAGATTGTCTTTTAGGGACAATGGTTCAGTCTCATGCTACTGATATTGCCCAGTAATAACTTGGGATCCTTACTTCCTCTCCTAAGCCCTTAAGGATGTAAGTTCAGCTTCCTACCTCCCTAGGTCCTTAGCATCCTCCCTAAACATGGAACTGTACAGCACCCAACCTGAACTGTTCTGGGTCCCAATTATTAACAACTAGAGGCCCAGTGCACGAAATCCATGCATAGGGGGAAAAGAGGTCCCTCAGCCTGCCCTGCACCCTCTCCAACCCTTGGAGCATGTCCAACTGCCTCTAGCAATCCGGGACCACTGATTCTAACCGCTCACCTGCCTGCCTGCCTGATCGCCCCTGCCTCTGCCTCACCCTGCATCCAGGACCTAGGATTCCCTCCTCTGGCAGGCCGCAGGCAGCCAGGACCCAGGTCAGCTTTGTCTGAGTCGGCTGCAGCTACAGGAGACCATGGGCAGGCGGCTTTGCCTGGGCCGAGGCCGCAGGCACCTGGGACCATGGAGTGGGAAGCTTGTCCCTCTCCTGGGTCCCAGGCACAGGCACAGCCGCTTGTGCCAGGAACCAGAGGGCAGGCGGCTTGTCCCTCTCCCAGGTGCAGCCTGGCTGGTCCCCATTCCTCTCTCCACAGGGTTGAGTGTCTGAGCAGTTCCAAAGTATGGACATTTTGCAAAGTATGACTATTTGCATATCGGCTCTTTATTATATAGAATGATACTGGAAAAATGTTCTCAAACTTTTTGGTCTCAGGATTTTTATGCTCTTAAAAATTATTTATGCTCCTAAAAATTATTTAGAGCCTCATAAAACTTTTGTCAGGTTAATTATACCTATTACGGTTTACAGTTCTGGGATTGAAACTTACAAATGCTTTAAATATTAATTCATTTTAAAATAACAATAAGCCCATCATATATTAGCAAAACTTTTCATTAAAACAGTTTTCAAGGCCCTGACCACGGAGCTCAGTTGGTTAGAGAATCATCCCAATACACCAAGCTTTTAGTTCCATACCTGGTCAGGGCACATACAAGACCAATGAATGTTTAAGTGGAACAACAAATCAATGACTGCCTCTCTCTCTTTCTCTCATTCTCTTCCTCCTCCCCCTTCCCTTCTCTCTCTAAAATCAATTTTAAGAAATAGTTTTCAAAACAAAACTAGTGAGAAGAGAGGCACTGTTCAACATTTTTCAAATCTCTTTAATGCCTGGCTTACTAGAAAGGAGTGGATTTTCACATCTGTTTCCACATTTTAATTTGTTGTGATATCAGTCATGTCAGTCTTTAGAAAACTCCATTCAACACGCATGAAAGAATCAGAGTGAAAAGGACAAATAATGTCCTAATATTACCACGAAAAGTTCTGGGCTTAAGGAACCCTGGAAAAGAATCTCAAGAGCCTCTGAGCTGCCCTAGCTGGTTTAACTCAGAGGTTAGAGCATCAGCCTGTGGACTGAAGGGTCCCAGGTTCGATTCCAGTCAGGGGCACATGCCCGGGTTGTGGGCTCCATCCCCAGTGGAGGGGTGCAGGGGGCGGCCGTTCAGTGATTCTCTCTCATCATTGATGTTTCCATCTCTCTGAAATCAATAAAAATATATTTTTAAAAAAAGACCCTCTGGGCTAAAGCCAGCTGTTAATGTTCCAAGTCCTTTATTTCCTCCTCCAAGTCTTTCTTAAGTGAGCAGAATTAAAACTAGAACAATAAATTCTACAATTTACTTTATAGTTCTTTCTGTACATTGTTCTTTCACCCGACTAGTACATCCCAATATATTTCTTAGCCATTTCTGAGCATCAAAATAAAAGGCTGATGAAACTAAACATTTACACCTGTTCTCTCCTCCCTGGCAACCAAGTAAACAACTATCTAGGGAGATACTTATAATGCCATCCCCATACCAACTTGGGAATTAATCTAGACTGTTAGTAATAAGATCCACCCAAAATTAATCTAGATTATAGCTAAGCTTTAAAAATGTAAACGTACATTTCCAAAAGCAGTACACACCCACAAAAGCCTCCCTTGGTGTGCCCAAGTCGTACAAAACTGAACTGAGTTAAAAGCTTAATGGAAAAAAGTGTGCTAAATTTAAAAGTTCAAGTGCATTATGGAGTTGAATGAAAAACAGTTGTCTAGCCCTAACAGGTTTGGCTCAGTGGATAGAGGGTCAGCCTGCCGACTGAAAGGTTCCAGGTTCCATTCCGGTCAAGGGCATGTACCTTAGTTGCAGGCACATCCCCAGTAGGAGTGCAGGAGGCAGCTGATTGGTGTTTCTCTCTCATCGATATTTCTATATCCCTCTCTTCCTTCCTCTCTGTAAAAAAATCAATAAAATGTATCTTTTTAAAAAAAGAAAAACAGTTGTCTAGATAATTACTAAACAAGTGAAAGGTCCAAAATGACTTTCAAAAGTCAAAGTCGTCTTAGCAAAACAAAAGGCCAGACAAAGACACCTTATTGCTTAAAAAAAGCTAGCCGAAAGCGTGGTTAACTAGAAAAGGATTAAGAAAAACTTAGCACAGACAATCGGGCTCTCCTGATGGGAGTGTAAACTACACACACACACACACACACACACACACACACACACACACACACAAAAAATCCTTGATACTAAACATCGAAATGGAGCCCTTTGCCATAATAGGCAGCTTTCTGCAAAGGTCCTGCGACGGCTCTGACGGCACGAAGCTTTCCTATCGCTCCCTAAAAAGTATCAGTCTTCCCCCCGTTCATGCCCAGAGGGAATGCTTTTCTGTAGTTTGGTTCTACTTTTGTTTCTGGATTACCCTGGATTACTCTCACAACCGGAGGGCTGCTGAGCCAATCCCGAGTGAGAAATGGAAAGGCACAAGAAAAGAGGCGACAGCCCGGCACCCCCACATGGAAGGAGACTCAGGAGAGAGCAGCGGCGGCACGTCCCCCGCTACAACCCGGACGGAAAGCGGAGCCTCCAGGTTCCCAGCGACTCCGGCAGCGGCTCCCTCCCCCTCCCCCGCCCCCGCCCCCACGCCCCCATGCCCTCACGCCGGGACGGTCCGCAGAACCAGAACCAGAAAGTGGAGTCCCCCCGCTTTCCGGGGCCCCCGAGCCCCCGGGGCAGACTCTCCCGTTACATAACTGGCAATCAACCAGCAATCAACCGTCTAACGAGGGAGGGAGGCAGGCGGGATCCCCGAGGACTCCCCCTCCCCCGGAGGTGGGAGCTGGGCTCCGCGAGGGGGGACGCCTGCAGAGGGCCGCGACCACAGGCGCCGGGACACGGGGGATGGCACAGGGGCGGGCACACGGCTCCCCGAGGCCCCGGGAGGCCCCGCCGCCCCGGGCCCCAGGGCACTCCCCTCCCCAGCCCGCCGAGTCCCCGCACCGGCCGCCCCCTCCCCCAGGCCGCGCTCCCCTCCCCCGCGCTGCCGTCCCCCAGCCCCTGCCCGGCGGCCAGCGGACCGGCCCAGCGAGGCCCCAGCCGCCGCCATCAGACGGCTCCCGGCCCGGTACCTGGTCAGACATGGTGACGGCGCTTCGCCCGGGGTCTCCGCACCGCAGCGGCCTCGGGTAGGCAGGACCTCGCTCCGGGGTTTACAAACCCGTCCCTCTTCCCCACAGCACAACACCGCGGCGGCAGGCACTTCCGCTCGGCCGCGCGTCACTTCCGCTCCGCGGAGGGAGCGGGCCGGGGAGGAGGCGAGGCCGGCGCTGGCGGGGCGGGGGCGCCGCGGCGGGAGGACTCTGCTGCGGGCGGGGGGCGTGCGAGTGACTTAACCACAGTCTGATCCCGAGGCCTCCACCCCGCCTCCTCGGCCCCCGACAGCGGGGGAAAGTTCGGGCCCCCGCCTCGGGGTTTGGGGTTTGCTGACAGCCCCGCCCCCTCCCTCCGGCCCGTTTCGGAAGGCTGAGCCGGGAGACTTCCATTGTCTCCGCCTCGCGGGGCAACCTCCCGAAATAAACCGGATTGGATACCGGCGCTCCTTGCCCTAGAGCTAAGGTTTTGGCTTAACCAGCCCCCACTCTCACCCCGCGAACACGTGACCTTGATGGGGGGGTGGGGGGGGAAGCAAAACAAAACAAGGATCTCATTGGACACAGTCTGGGTGGTTACTGGTGAAAACGATGCTGCCGAAAAGTTCTAAACTGGGGGGGGGGGGGAGGAGAAGCTCATTCCCACCCTGGAATTCGTTGCTTTGAGTTAAAGAATGGTCCTTCTATGATTTCTTCTTTAAAAAAGTAAATAAGTAAATAATAAAATGCAATGGCCCTACTGGCCTAAGCATAGAGGATAAAGATGTAGACAAATGAAATAGGATAGAGATTTGGAAATAAATCAAGAAGCACTCACAGCCGAAACCGGTTTGGCTCAGTGGATAGAGCGTCGGCCTGTGGACTGAAAGGTCCCGGGTTCGATTGCGGTGAAGGGCATGTACCTTGGTTGCCAGAATATCCCCAGTAGGGGGTGTGCAAGAGGCAGCTGATCGATGATTCTCTTTCATCGATGTTTCTAACTCTATCCCTCTCTCTTCCTCTCTGTGAAAAATCAATAAAATATATATTTTTTAAAAACTACAATGAGATACCACTTCACACTACTATTACAGGATATCTATAATTAAGAAAAAGATCATTAGAAGTGTTGAAAAAGGTATGGAGAAATTAAAATCATCATATACTATTTAGAAGGAATATAAAATGCTTTGGAAAACATTCTGGCAGTTCCTCCAACTGTTAAGCACAAAGTTAGCATGATCCAGCAATTCTACTCATATATATATATACATATATATGTTTATATTTATCCAAAAGAACTGATGACATATGACCACACAAAAACATGTATGCAAATATTCACAGCAACACTGTTCATAATACCAAACATCCCTCAACTGACTAATGGAAAAACAAAAGTTGTATATCCATACAATGGAACATCATCCGATCTAATAAGGAGGGAATATGCTAATTGCCTCCCTCTCAAGGATGGAGGTGCCCACAGCCAGAAGATGGTGGTGCCCAGTCCCCTCAGCCCCGCTGGTGTAGTAGGCACCAGCCACTCCATACACCTGCCTCTGGAGTCCCCTAGTCCGCTCAGCACCTCGGCCTCCAAGGGCCAGCCCAACGTGCAGGCAAGCCTTGGATGGTGGCTGCCCAGCTGCCCAGGGCCGCCCAAGGCTCAGGTAACCAGGGCCGGTGGAGGCTTGCGCTGCTGGCATTGGCAGCAGCAGAGATGTGATGGGGCGTTGCCTTCCCCTGATGGCCAGGTTGCCTCTCGCCCTGAAGGCTCCCAGACTGTGAGAAGGGGCAGGCTGGACTGAGGGACCCCCTCCATCCAGTGCATGAATTTTCATGCACCGGGCCTCTAGTTAAGCCATTAAAAAGAATGAAGTACTCAAACAATGTTGATAAAACTAGCAAACATGAAAGGAGCCAGTCATAAAGTTTCATTCCATTCATATGACATGTCCATAATAGGCAAATCTACAGAGACAGGAAATAAATTATTAAACTACTACTCTAGCTTTCTACTAGGGCTGGGGGATTAGGGAAGAAATAGAGAGGACTACTAAGAGGCACAGGTTTTCTTTTGGGAATGATGAAAATACTCTAAAATCTATTGTGTTGATGGTTGCACAACACAGTGAATATACTAAAAAACTAGAAAAAATACACATTTTAAATAAGTGAACTGTATGAAATTATACCTCAATAAAACTGTTGCATATAAAATATAATGGAGGCCTAGCTGGCTCAGTGGATAGAGCATTGGTCTGCAGACTGAAGTTACCAGGTTCAATTCCAGTCAAGAGGACATACTGAGGTTGCAGGCTTAAAATCCAGGGGGGGGGGGGGGGTGCAGGAGACAGCCAATCAATGATTCTCTCTCATCATTGATGTTTTTATATCTCTCTCCCTTTCCCTTCCTCTCTGAAATCAATTATATATATATATATATATATATATATATATATATATATAATCTACAATAATAAAAGTGTAATATGCTAATTAGACAAGAAGGCCAAATAGCACAACTATCCTGATGACCTTCTGGGACCACACTATGACACCCACTGGTGCCAGGCCAGCCAAGGCAGGCCCAGGCCACCAACTGGTGGGCTGTGGCAGGTGGGCGGGGCCTCCCTCTGCAAGGGAAGCCTGGGTCCTGGGTGCCAGAGGGAAGCCCGTGCAGGCAGCCAGGGGAAGGAAGGTCTACTCTTGCACAAATTTCGTGCATCAGGCCTCGAGTATATATATATATATATATATATATATATATATATATATATATATATATAAAGGAGCTGGGAGGAGCTGCTAATAAGTAAGGTATTATTAATGGAGCACATAGGACACCTACATCCAACCAAATGTCCATGAAATGTTTCCAAAAAAATAAAATCTAAGTTGAAATCCAAAAGGTAAGTAGGAATCAGCTACAGCAGCAATTCTTAAACGTTTTGGTCCCAGAACTCCTTTAAACCTTTAAAAATTGCTGAAGATTCCAAAAAGCTTTGTTTACATATTATTACTTTCAATATTTAACATGTTAGAAATTAAAACTGAGCAAAAAATTTAAATATGTCTTTGTTAAAAAATAATAAGCCCTTGAAGTGCATAAATGACATATTTGTATAAAAAATTACCACATTTTCCAAATTCAAAAAATAAAGGCCTAATGAGAAGAATAACAGTGTTTTTTTGTTTTTGCAAATGTCTTTAATTTTTTAAATGCCTGGCTTGTCAGAAGACACCAGGTAGTGTATCTACATCATTCAATTGTTGCCATGTTATAATTTGTTTATGTAAAGAACATACAACCTTAAGCCGATATATAATTGGAGGAGGAAGGAAGGGCTATTTTAATAGCTTTTTCAGATAATTGTGATATTTTCTTTGATGGTGCACCCCAACTGGACAAGTGGTATTTTCCTTTTTTAAAATATGTTTTTATTGATTTCAGAAATAGAGGAAGGGATGAGGAGAAACAGAGAGAAAGAAACAACAATGTAAGAGAAACACATTGACTGGTTGCCTCCTGCACAGGCCCCAACCGGAGCCCTTGACTGGAATCCAACCCGGACACTTCAGTCTGAGGACTGATGCACTATCCATTGAGCAAAATCGACTGCTGCTGTAAGGCCCCAAAATTTAGACTCTATTCCTTTTTGTTGCTTCTTACAAACCCTTAAGGGATTTCTTTCCTGATCTCATCTCTTTCTTATAATATCTTGACACTCTCTTCTAAAAATAACCTCTATTAAGTTTCTATTTTCTACTCCCTTCCCCAGGGCTCAGTAGACATGTGGTCTGCTGCTCAAATAATCTTAAGCAACAGTTTCACAAAATGTTTTGCCACTGCATTTCATGGCTTGCCATCTTTTTGGCCATTGATATTAGATTTATTCTGCCCACCACCCACCTGTTATATGTAAAGGTCACATAGGTTTGTTTTTTAGAGTTCCATTTTTAGGAAGAGAGAGGGAGAGACAGAAACATCAAAATGAACAAAACAAATAGAGCCTCTACTCTTATTGAGCTTACATTCTATAGGATTCTTCTAACTCTTCAGATGGTTTTCTTTTAAAACATTCTGCCCTAGCCAATTTGACTCAGTGGCTAGAGCATCATCTTAGGACTGAAGAGTCCCAGGTTCAGTTCTGGTCAAGGGCACTTGCACGGGTTGCTAGCAGTAGGGGGTGTGAAGGCAACTAATTATGTAGAGGCAACTAATTAATGATTCTCTCTCATCATTGATGTTTTTATATATATCTCTCTCTCCCTGTCCTTCCTCTCCGAGATATATATATATATATATATATATATATATATATATATATATATATATATTTAAATGCTTGCCCTAGCTGGTTTGTCCTGCAGACTGAACAATCCTGGGTTCAATTCCGGTCAAGAGCATATACCTTGGTTGCAGGTTCCTCCTGATTGGGGCCCAGGGCCCATGCAGGAGACAACCAATCAATGTGTTTCTCTTACATTGATGTTTCTCTGTCTTTTCTTCTCTCTCCCTTCCACTTCCCTAAAAATCAATGGGAAAATATCCTCAGGTGAGGATTTACAAAAAACAAAAACAACAAAAAAAATGCTTGTTTGAAAATGAACTCAGGATTTGTTGGTGTTTTATTCCTTTTATTTTGAGATTACATTTATGAAAGTTGGGGAGAGTGGAACCAAGGAAGTGCTTAGGTATAGAAGAAGCGACTGGCAGTGCTCTGCTTTGGCCCTCCCGAATTGTTATAGGAAGAAAGTGAGTTACGTAGCGCAGAATGGGCCGAGAAGTAAAAGTCATAGTGACAGAAGTGAGCCAAGCTGGGCTCCTATTAATTATCTCACTGAAAAGTCAGAGAAAAAGGGGCCTTGGAGACAGGTTCAGTGAATGAAATGCCACTGCCTGCTGCTCCCCTGGTTGCAAGTCTTGCTGGGACCCTTTGAGTTTAGAAGAAAGAGAACACAGATACATGCTTGAGAAAGGGAGAAGAGAGCTCTGGGTGTCCCCCAAAGAAAGCCCACAAGAATTTGTTTTAATGAGTTATGATAAGACATGAAGACATGAAAATGACTGTTATAAAGAAAAAAATTTTGCTGGGGGGTGCTAACTGCCAGGGAGAGATAAATGGAAAAAAGAGGAGACAGGATTTTACAAGAAAGAATTTTAATTTAAAAAAAAAGAAAGCTAAAGAATTAATAAAAAATTTAATGTTTTTTATTATTGATTTCAAAGGAAGGGAGAGAGAGAGAGAGAGAGAGAGAGAGAGAGAGAGAGAGAGAGAGAGAGAGAGAGAAAGAGACAGAAACAATGAGGAGAGAGAATCATCAGCTGCCTCTGCATGCCCTCCACTGGGGATTGAGCCCACAACCTAGACATGTGCCCTGACTTGGAATCGAACCACAACCTCCTCATTCATAGTTTGACACTCCACCACTGAGACAAGCTGGTAGGGCCATAATTTTACACAGAGAAAGGATGCATATCGAAACCAGCTAATGGGAGAAACACACAGGGCAAAATCTGGCAGAGTTCCAAACACAAAACTTCCATTGTCCTCTCCCATCAGTGAGGATTTATTACCTTCCCAGCACTGAAGTGTGACAATATTCATAGATTATCACCAACTAGGTTCAGAAATTTAAAATATATATATATATATATATATATATATATATATATATTTTTTTTTTTTATTGATTCCAGAGAGAGGAAGGGAAAAGAGAAAGATCCATTGAGAGGATCGCCCACAACCAGGACATGTGCCCCTGACTGGAATCAAACCTAAGACCCCTCAGTTGGCAGAAGCTGACGCTATATCCATTGAGCCAAACCAGCAAGGGCAGATTCAGAGATTTTTATTGGGGCTTAATAATCTAGGCATACCAATTGGTTCGTTGATTGATTGATTGATTGATTGTATGGTTGAACTTATGGCCTGATTGATCACATGGTTGGTTTTCCTGAATGAGCAATCCCCACCCTAGACAAAGACACTCCTATCAAATATGATATAGATTACCTCTCAGAAACCAAGGGCAAAGGCCAGACTTGGGATAGGCCAAAGTATCTTATATAATAAAAAGCTAATATGCAAATTGTACACCCATGGCCCCTCCTCTGACCGGCTCCATCCCAGATCCATCCTGGCCACAGGCCAGATCCCACCTGTCACAAATTCGTGCACCAGGCCTCTAGTTTACCATAATTAACAAGAACTTCAATTTATTTTTTTTTCAAATCATTTTCCACCCTCATTGTATATATTTCCCACCCTTGATGGTAATCTTTCTGATTACATACAAATGACAGATTTTTTTAAAAATATATATTTTTTATTGATTTTAGAGAGGAAGGGAGAGGGAGAGAGAGATAGGAACATCAATGATGACACCAGCACGCCCCCTACTGGAGATTGAGCCCGCAACCCAGGTATGTGCCCTTGACCAGAATCAAACCTGGGACCCTTAAGTCTGTGTAGGCTGACACTGTATCCACTGAACCAAACCAGCTAGGGCACAAATGACAGATTTTTTTTTATGACCAATTAATCTTCAATAGTTTTCAGAGAGGGGGTGTGTGGCCACAGATACAGAAATCACTGAACCATTATAAAAGCTAGCTACCTTTTATTTTCAGGGAGGAAAAAAGTTGTATTCATTTACACACAAACAAAAACCAGTAGCCATAGCTCTCCAACTTCTTCCGAGGGTTGAAAGGAAACAGAGTACAGAATTCACCAGTTGCTTACAGTAGTTCCAAATCTCAAAGAGCTGTTTTCTGTTCACAGACACATAAAACACTTTTCGTTATGTAACTCACAATGTCTCACAGACAAGACAAATAACAAAGAGTGGCAGGACAAACAAACAGAAAGACAAAGTGAACAAATAATCAAAAACAAACAGTCACATACTCTGACTTTTGCTAGTCAACCGGGTCAAGATTCCCTGTGCCTATTTGACTGCCATCTAGCACATATCAAATAGTCATATCATAAACAAACAAATAGGCCAGATTTAATGTTATTGCCAGCAACAGTTGTACAAATCAAAACCAGAACAACATCCAGAATTGGCCATTAACTAGAAACAGAAACAGAAACAGAGAAAGACATTTAGTCAGCAAAGCTCTATTGTCACGTGAGAGGCAACTCGAGGGCCAGGAAGATTATGTCTAGGTGAAGAGTACTCCTCTGGCACTGCAGTTTACTCAGGGTCAACAGGTAAATCATTTGGAAAGAAAATTTACTTGCAAAGAAAGTTATGAAGGAGGCCACTTTTCAAAGTCTTGCTCATTAAAAAAAAAAATCAGAGCAAATAAACATACATTCATTTAAAGAAAAATATGTTACCAAGTTAACAATTAGTTAACAAAAAATTGCATTTTTCTTATATCATTATCTTTTTTAAAATTCTCACCAAGGACTTTTTTAATTGACTTGAGAGAGAGAAACACAAGTGCATCACAGAAACATCCATCAGTTGCTCCCCTATCCACCATATGCAGCCAGACCCGGAATTGAACCCACAACATTTACTGCACAGGACGACTCGCCAACCAACTGAGCTACTCAGCCAAAGCTCAGATGATTATCTTATCTGCAAAGCTTTCTTCTGTCTTCAGATATCCGCACTGCAAAAGTCAGCGGAAGAGTTGTTTCTCTTGGGGAGTAAATAATTTACAGAAAGGCTCAAGGTTTCATTGAATTTGGGACCTAGAACTAGACCCTAGTTTTGTTGTGTCTTGTTTTTGTTTCTTAGGGTACAACATGGTTTGTGTGTTTCCTTTCTATAGGATATGATATGTGTGTTTACCCTTAGTGGAAGCAGGCCAGTGTTTATTTTTAAAAATGTTTTTTTATTGATTTCAGAGCGGGAGAGGGAAAAAGAGATAAAATATCAATGATGAGAGAGAATAATTTATTGTCTGCCTCTTGCACGCCCCACACTTGGGAATAGAGCCCACAAGCCAGGCATGTGCCCTGACCAGAATCAAACTATGACCTCCAGCCTTTAGTTTCCTTCTTGTGGTCACCTTTTTGTCTATTTGAATTATTGTCTTAATTTAATTATATGGGCACTGTGCAAAGACAACTTCTAGGAAATGCCACAGTAAGTAAGTTTCTCATTTCCTCTTTGTGTAAAGCGTTAGACACAAGGAAAAGAACTTTACGTCTTGCAGATATTCATTCATTAAATGTTTACCAATCACTTAATAAGATCTGACTTCATGACTAGCACATTATTCCTTATAAAGATCCAAGTAAGTGAAAGATACAGATTCCATTCTCTAGCAGATGCACTGCCATTGAGGACACTAGACCCAAAAGTATAACTTTATACTTTTAAAAGTATAACTTTATACTTTATACTGTTATATAACTTTATACAACAATATAAAGAGACACAGTGTTTCCAATTAATCTGCCCACCCCACCCTAACCCCCCCCTCCCAATCAAGCCATTTTGGCTTCTTGTTTCCCTGACCACGCTGGATCCTATGCTATAGTCAATAATGCTCTGGTCTATACCATAGATCCCCCTACCCATTGATTTCCCCCCACTTTCACCTTTTTCTGTTACTTAGTTAAGAATTTTCATTTCTCTTGATGCCCTGTTGCAGAGTTACCTAGTATTCTATAACTTCCAGGATGTTGTTTGTTAATATTTGTAGGCAATCTGGATATTGGGACTGGGAAGCGAGGCAAGAAATTTTACTGCTATTGGAAGCCAGACTTGTGTAAGAATTGGGGTATTTAAACCAGACAAGGAGACTGAACGTTATCAGAAAAGCAAATTATGAGGGGAGTTAGCTTGAAACGCAGACAGATAGGGCAGGGATCCAGTGGGAAACAAAGGCAGGTAGAACACAGACAGGGGGCAGACAGGGCAGCTTAAGCAAGCCTAATAACAGAAACCAACCATGCTGAAAAAAATAAAATAAAATAAAATAAAATGTTTTTGGATAGAGAGTGGGAGGCATGGAATCCAAGGGAGGCCCTGCAATAAACAAGGTGTACGTACACACAGAAACAGAAAATTCATGTTCCTTGCTGGGCACAAACAGAGCATCAATCAGGGGGTGACATAGATGGACAGGGAGCAGGCTAGTAACACATATATCCTCCTAGGATGACTTGCTTTGCTGGCATCCCATTCTTTGGGCTCCCTCCCTGTGAGGGAGTCTGAATCTGCTTGTAATAAATTCTCCACACTTTTGTTTAAATCTTCTGGTCTGTGTAGCTCATTCTTCAGCATCTCCAGACACGACACCAGTTCACCAAGCCGGTTATCAATTACACTCAGAAAAGAACAGAACATCTAGAGTCATTGCAGAAAAAAAAAAAAAAAAAAGTGGGGGGTGGGGGGAGGGAGACCCACATAAATTTGAAACACATCTGTGCCAAACCATCACTTTGGCCAGAAAGAACCATCAGGGGAGCTCGCAGGCACGGTGACTACCGAACTGTCATCCTGAGGACTTCAAGGCAGGAGTACAGCCCAGCGGCTTGCACTTGTCCAATTACTACACCTGAGGCAGACGCCGAGACACACGTGGAATATTTCACATGCGAGACTTAAAAATAAGCAGAAGCAACGTTTTACTTTGACTTCTGTGTGCAGTCTACAGGCATAAAAACGCGCCGCCTTGTGAAATCCCGCGACAATTCCGCGGTCCTCCCGCCCCTCCCCGAGGCGGGAACGTTGCGGAAGTGACGTCACGCCGCCCGCCGGAAGCGCGTTGCCTCCCAGCATCCTCGGGGAAGGAGAAGCGCGTTCCCGCGTCCTGCACGCAGTGCAGTGTGGAACCTTTAGGCAGCGTGGTCTGCGCTCTGCAGGGAGGCGTGCGTGTCTGTGCTGGGCCAGCCGCGGCCCTGCGGGCTCGGGGGGCCGCACGTCGGGCCTTTTTCCGTTAGGACCAGCGCTCACGCGGGCCGCGCCGCGCCCTGACCCGGCCTCACCATGCTGGTGCTGTTTGAAACGTCTGTCGGCTACGCCATCTTTAAGGTAGGGGGAGATGGAGCGGTTGGAGGGGGAGGGCGGGTGTGGGACCGGCGGGGAGAAGGAAAGGCTTACGGAGAGGATGGCACTGCTCAGGGGAGCAAGGGGCTCCCCTGGGCTCCCCTGCCCTGAAAGGAAGGGGAAGGCTTGGGGCCCGGGAGGCGCGTGTTTCGGCGGACACGTGGCCTCGCTCTTCGGGGTGCGGGGTTCTGGGTTAGAGGACTTGGCCGGTTAGAGAGGTGGGCAGAGGCCATCTTAGAGCTTTAAAGGTAATGAAGGAGTCCGGGTTTTAACCTGAGTGGTTTTGAAGAATGGCTGGAAAGTTTTAACGAGAGGAATAAATGCCCTGTGCTCTATGACTGGATTACAGCCTGTAAGGGTGGTTTTGCATGAAACTAGACAAGCTAAAGAGGCTTTGATGGAGGTTGACTTGAAGATGGTCATCAGAGAATTTTAAAGCTAGAACTGACGGGATTGGCTGGTGGCGTGAATGGGGTTTCGGTGTCAGTAAGTGGGTGCCTGATGATGGGGCAAAGAAGAGGAACAGGTATGGTGCGTGTTTAGTGGGCAGGGCACTAAAGAGTTACAGGTTGGTTGTATGAAGCTTGCGATGTTTAAAATAGAAAGTTTTCAGCAAAGACACCCCTCCCCCCCACACACACACGATCACCACCACTAGATCTGAATTCCATCCAGTTATTTTTTTTTAATATATTTTATTGATTTTTTACAGAGAGAAAGAGAGAGGGATCGAGAGTCAGAAACATCGATGAGAGAGAAAATCAATCAGCTGCCTCCTGCACCACCCCTACTGGGGATGTGCCTGCAACCAAGGTACATGCCCTTGACCAGAATCGAACCTGGGACCCTTCAGTCTGCAGGCCGACGCTCTGTCCACTGGGCCAAACTGGTCTCGGCTCCATCCAGTTATTAAATGTGCCACTTGAGCTACTAATTTGAAAATTTTATGCTGGGTTAGAAAACTGGTTCATTATTTCAGAGGAAGAAAATAACTTACACCGTCCTCATTTCACAGTTGCAGTTGTACTAGAAGTAGGTGTATATGAGTGCCTAAGTTGTGCATTTATTTATTTACTTATCTCCTTATCTATTTATCGTTAATCTTCACCCAAGGATATTTTTTCCATCGATTTTTAGAGTGGGTGGAAGGGAGACAGAAACAGTGATCGTTACTGGGGCTGGAGATCTGGGTATGTGCCCATGACTGGAATCTAACTCAGGACCCTTCAGTCTGAGGTCTGACACTAACCACTGAGCTACTGTTTGGGACTAAACTGTTCTGTTTTTTAAAATTACTTAAATATTTATTACAGGTTTTGAATGAGAAGAAACTTCAAGAGGTTGATAGTTTGTGGAAAGAATTTGAAACTCCAGAGAAAGCAAATAAAATGTAAGTCACCTTGAAAATAAGAATGTAGCATTTCACATCTATAGGGGTTCTTTTTACATACCCCTCCCCTCTGTTCACGGAATTGTTATTTTTCATAACTTTTGTTTTAAAATGTATTTCAGGAATGATATTGGTATAAGCCTAATAGATTTCCTTATTTGGTGCATAAGCTATCTCTACTAATTTGTATTAGTTTCAGACTAGATTGGGCAGCAACACAAATTACTTTTTTGTAAGTTCTTTCAAAGCACGAACTGATTGTGAATTAAGTATAAATTTTAGTTAAAAGTAATATTTGTCAAAAAGCATGGATTTAACTTAGTTTCTCTAAGTTAGTATCATTCAAATGTTTTTTAACCTACTATGCAGTTTATTCATTCTTTATGACTTCTGCTTCCTAGCTCCCACTGGAGGAAAATCTAGCTAGGAAATCCTGGAAAGGTAGTCTGAGTTCCCCAAGGTCTCTGGAGTGGAAAATAGAGTGTAATGTTGATGGCAGCTAAAGGAATGAGGGGTAAGAGAGAGCTGGCTTTTCCTCAGGGCAGTCAAGATGGCTCTCACCATCTGTGAATCACCTTATGAAATTATCTATTTAGTGAATGAGCCCTAGGAAGGATCTGACTAATATCTTGATACATGTCGGTTTAGGTTATGTCGTTGGATGCTAAGGTACATTTCATAATTCATCTGCTAGTGCTAATAAAAATTCACAAGATTAGCCGAGGCTGGTTTGGCTCAGTGGTAGAGCGTCGGTCTGCGGATTGAAAGGTCCCAGGTTTGATTCCGGTCAAGGGCATGTACCTTGGTTGCGGGCACATCCCCGGTGGGGGGTGTGCAGGAGGCAGCTGGTCGATGTTTCTCTCTCATCGACATTTCTAGCTCTCTATCCCTCTCCCTTCTTTGTTAAATATCAATAAAATATATATTTTTTTAAAAATATACAAGAATAGAAAAAAAACTAAAGCTTGCTGAAGATAGTGTTGAACCCAAAGAAATGTCATACTAAATAATTAGAGAAACAAATGTGTAGTTCTAGCATTTGTAGTGGCAAACCCCCAAATTTTAAATACTCATTGGTACTATAATTGTTGAATAAACTTCAGTATGTCTATAGATCTCTTACAAATCTAGGGAGTGGTCTGTGATATACTGAGAAAACCATGCTTCAGATTTTGTATAATATGATCCCATTTTTGCCATGTTGTTGTGTATCTACATATGCATTCATGCAAATGCCACTGCAGAAAGGTGCAAATAGGGGTGAAGTGAGGCCGGATAGATGAAATTACTACTTTTCCTCAAATCATTGTATTGTTGGATGTTTCTGACCAGGTAAGAAAAGCTTGCTTAAGATAATATTTGAGACACAATAGAAGTCTGAAACCTCCCCCCCTCCCTAAAATATATTTTTGTTGATTTCAGAGAGGAAGGGCGAGGAGGAGGAGAGATTGAGCCCACAACCCAGATATATGCCCTTGACTAGAATTGAATGCAGGACCCTTCAGTCCCCAGACTAATGCTCTATCCACTGAGCCAAACTGGCTAGGGCTAATTTTCTCTTTTTAAAGGGATATATGCTTTAATTGGCTGGGTTCACTTAATTCATTGTTGTCAATGATGTATTCTAATTGGAACTGAATCTAAATGATCTCACTCAACTATTCGTCACTACCACTGAGACAGCAATGGATTAAATGTCTTTGTTTCCATATGAAATGATGTTAATCTGCACATAACTGGGGGGAGAAATAAGGGAGTAAAATTAAAAGAAGGTTGACAGCAATCAGATTTGACAATAAGCTGCTGTTTAATGGTATTTTTACTGGAATGACAAATTAGTGTCATAAGCTTCCTGACTAAGACAGACTCCTTTTCTTAGGCATCTGAGTCTAGTTTTAAGCAACAGAGGTTATGTTGAAGCTTCAGCATCTTTCCTATGGTTTAAATGTGGTAGCCAACCTCTTTCCTGTTCTATGTTTCCTTCAAAGCCTACAACCTCCTCTATAGTAGTCCATACATTAGTAGGCTAACATTTAGAGGAACTGGTCATTTTTAAAATATATATATATTTTATTGATTTTTTTTTTTTTTACAAAGAGGAAGAGAGAGGGATAGAGAGTTAGAAACATCGATGAGAGAGAAACATCGATCAGCTGCCTCTTGCACATCCTCTACTGGGGATGTGCCCACAACCAAGGTACATGCCCTTGACCGGAATTGAACCTGGGACCTTTTAGTCTGCAGGCTGACACTATCCACTGAGCCAAACTGGTTTCGACGGAACTGGTCATTTTGTGATAATATCTAACCTTGCACCCTGGTACCCTTTGGCAGGGAAGTTTGTTTTTTTTTATCAGTGCATGCTTTGGAAACAGTCTAACAACCTTTCCTAAATATGTGGCTTTTACAGAAATCATTGTGCTGCATGACTTTTTTTCTTTCTTCTAGAGTTAAGCTAAAACATTTTGAGAAATTTCAGGATACAGCAGAAGCATTAGCAGGTAAAGTAAAAGGCTAACTCTTTTGTTTTTAATCTTCACAATTTGTTATCCTTATTAAAAAGTTGTTTGCTTCAGTTGCCTGAGTTAACCTTATTCGATGTTGTCAATGATGCATTCTTTTCAGAACTGAATTTAAGTGATCTAACAAATTCGTCACTACCACTGAGACAACATTGAGTTAGCTTTTTTCACCATAGGGCTGGTTTCCCTCCCCATGTGATGAGAGCTGAGAAGTGGTTAAATTGATCTCCCTGTGGAAACCAACAGCATAATGCTAAAGCACAATTCAGTAAAAGCTGTTCTACAAGGGACCAAGGTAATGTGGTCGAGCACACAGCTCTGATCATTCTACTATAACGGTATAGTTGAGAAAAACCAGCATTCCCAGTTGAAATAATAAAACAGCTCTCCAAGGATACACATTTTTTAGTTTGAAAAAGCACATTTTTAAAAGTTTTAGGAAAACTAATACCTTTAGGTTTGTGTATATTTATTATGAAACTCAAGCATAAGAGCTGTTACCTAAGGGGGCGTGATTTTTTATGCTTTAGACAGTGTTTCCCAAACTTTTGACATATGTGTACCCCTTCTATAATTTTTGTAATGCTGAGTACCCCTCGTACTCATGAGAACGTAGAATTAGGCGCAGCTAAGCACGGTGCAGTGCATATCCCCACCAAACTCTTCCCGTACCCCTGGGGGTACGCACCACACTTTGGGAAACACTGCTTTAGAAGAAGGGATGTCTCATCCTTCAATTAATCCTTCTGATAGGACAACAGACTTACGATAATAGGGTTTATTAACTTGACTTGGCTTCAGTAGGCAATTGATTTTATACATTGTTGTTTTTTCAATATTAGGGGACACAAGACCAGATATAAAACCCTAATCATAAATTTTTCAGTTGCTTAGATTCTATATCAAATCAGTCAACTACTTGAAGTATAATTTGAAAATGAAGAGCCATAAGTAAGGATGTGTCTTATTGAATTTGACAGACCCAAATAATTTGGTTCATCAGCTACAGGAGAAGAATATAGTTCTCTTATGAAACTTAGAAATCCAACTAAATAAATATGCTGGGTTATTAATGGGCCATCCTAATCTCTCTTTTTTTTAATGATTTTTTTTTTTTTACAGAGAGGAAGGGAGAAAGATAGAGAGCTAGAAATGTCGATGAGAAACATCGACCAGCTGCCTCTTGCACACTCCCCACTGGGGATGTGCCCGCAACCAAGGTACATGCCCTTGACCGGAATCGAACCCGGGACCTTTCAGTTCGCAGACCAACACTCTACCACTGAGCCAAACCGGTTTTGGCCAGGCCATCCTAATCTTGACAAGAGGGGTGAGCTGAAGGAAGACCCAACCATGAGCCAATTTTTTTTAATTTTAAAAAATGGTTCTAGGGCTGCTAAATTGTTAATGAAAGCCTTATAGTGCCATAATGCACAACTATGATGATTTTTACACTGGGGACTTTTTAAAAATATGGTTCTGTACATTATTGCTTTAAAATTTAATATGGGTAGAAATGTAGGTAAATATATCGGGATGCATTTATCACATAGAGTTGTAAAAGCTGCAAGCTCTGATCCTGAGTGGCCTCTCTTGAACTTTTTGTATATAACCTCTAATCTTTTTAGTACATTTCTGATCAATCCTTATTAAACTATTAAATGGATAGGTCCGACCTCTACCCAAACATGAAGCAAGTTTTTACTATAGCTAATATATCGGTCACAGTTTGTCAGATTTTGTATTCATCGCTCCAAAATCTTGAAACAAACCTGTGAAGTAGGTAATATCACTGTTTTTAGATGATAAAACTGAGGCTTCAGAGGAAGCACATTTCCCTACCAGGTTTTTGGTATTTCTTAAAATGTTGTAAGGTAAATAGTGAAAATTCTATACTAAGTGAGAACCCTCTGACACCTTAATCCAAGTTCCATGAAGGAAGAGGCTGTTTGCTCTCAAATCCCTAGATTCTAGCACGTAAATAATTTGGGGTAAATGAATGAAAGTAAAAAGCTCTATCAAAAATCTGGTCATAGAAACCTCTACACTGTCTTTTCCCATCGTTTTACCAGAAATTTTAACATTGCCTTATTACTAAGAGTAAAGTTCTTCCTGAGAATTAAACTTCCCACTGCCTGTTACAAGAGCCAAAATGCAGTGGTTGCAGATCTCAGACTGTGTTAACGCTCCATATTGTAAGAAAGCATCTGATGGGGTGTATCATCAATTTATACTGACCCCAAAGGTTCAAATATGACTTTTGCATAAAAAGGTTTATTTTATTTATTTTTTAAAATACAGTAACTTTAAAAAAAATGTATTTTATTGCTTTTTTTACAGGAAGATAGGGAGAGGGATAGAAAGTTAGAAACATTGATGAGAGAAACATTGGTCAGCTGCCTCCTGCACATCCCCTTGACCAGAATCAAACCTGGGGTCTTCAGTCCGCAGGCCAACACTCTATCCACTCAGCCAAACCAGTTTCAGCGAAAAGGTTTATTTTTACTCTTGGTCAAATTTTTAAGATCTAAGTCTTCGAAATAGTCACAGTAAAGTTTGGGCCAACCTACATTTGGATGAAATGAGAACTATTAGGAGATGCTGAACAGTGGCCAGTAGAGAAGATAAGTAGAGGGAAGACTCAGCTTCACTTTTCCCTGTCACCATCTCTATGTGTCATCTTTTTAAAGTACATATGAACAGTAATTAACAAACTTTTTTATAAAGAGGGGATAAATGTAAATGTTAGAATAGAGAGTTTTAAAGTATATGTTCCCTTTTCCCCATTGGTCCTTTCTAGTCCACCTCTACAAGTTTTTAATTATGTAAGGAAAGAATATAATTCTTATTAAAAAGGAAAATTACTAAGCAGTCAGCATTGTAAAACGTTAGATCCCAACAAAAATAGGTTGAATCTTAGCTTTTTAGAATGCAGAGAGCTGTGTGGTAGCCAAAGTTTTCGTCTTTACCTTTCATATTTCCAGGTAACAAATGAAACTGATGTGTAATTCAGATGAATGGAGATATTGTCAGGAAGAAAGAGCAAGTGTCTGGATGTCTAAATGCTTGGCCTTCGAAATTATGACAAACTTCCTTCTGCCAGGCATACTTTAAATTCAACTAAAACCCAGACGAATATGAGAAGGGTATTAGTTTATGTGGGTTCAGAAGATCTCAATATAGGTCTAAGGAAGGTGAGAGTAAGGAAAGTAAGATTTAAAGCTTAACCGAAATGAAAGCTGTACCAAAATTGAATAGGCTGCCTCTACCAATGTTTCCATCGGTGGAGGTTTATAAGCCCGATGACACCTGTGGATTGGGAGTTGGCAAAGGTTAGGCCCCACTTCGATATGCTTACATAGCAGCAGAACCTTCCGTTTAACTCCTGGTTCTGGAATAGAAATGAGGGTGACAAGATCAGATGATGTTATGAAATGTGTAACTTGTAAAATATGTTTATCATTTCATTGTAGGAACCACGTTAAATTTAGCCCTTTTGAAAGGGAATGCATATTTTTATTTCTTAAATTTAAATAAGATATTAAGCTCTTACAGTTAAAAATTGAGCATTAACTCTTGTTTTTTTATTTGTTTGTGTGTTTTTTCTCCCTGAAAAGCATTCACAGCTCTGATGGAGGGCAAAATCAACAAGCAACTAAAAAAAGTTCTGAAGAAAATAGTAAAAGAAGCCCACGAACCCCTGGCTGTTGCTGATGCTAAACTAGGAGGGGTCATAAAGGTAAAGTGACTCTTCTTTCGAGCTTCTACTCAGAACTCAACATTCAGCACAGTGACCTCAAATCTCGACCTCCCAATCAGTTGTTCCTCATAAGTTCTCAGATTTTATCTTTTTTCCCTAGGCTGCATCATTGATTTTGGTATGATTATCAGAGCTAAGCATGTATGTTAATTGTAGGAAATTCAAATACACCAAAAAAATATATTTTTTAAAAATAGCTTTAATCTTGCCACCTGGAGATTGTCTGTTAACCATTTGTGTATATCCTGCCATATTTTGGTATAGGCACATTCTCCTCCCCCCCCCAAACCCCAATGTTAATGGAGTCATGACATTTCTTTTTTAGAGTATGTGTTTGTTAGAAAACTTTAGTAGGGGATAGAGTTGCTACCCTGTTTCCCCGAAAATAAGACAGTGTGTTATATTAATTTTTTCTCTCAAAGTTGTGCTAGGTCTTATTTTCGGAGGATGTCTTATTTTTGGGGAAACACGGTAGAGTTAAACATAAAGTGAGAGTGGAAGGAAAGACCAGAAAAGTAGGCTCCCAAAAATGAAAGGCAGAACCGTTTGAGAGCCAGTTGTGGTTTGATCTTCGGAATTATTTTATGTTGTAGATCTTGTAGATGGGAAAGTTAGAGATTTGAGTATTTTTAAAGCTAGGATTATAAATTTAAGAGGTTTGTGTAAATAGGTTACTTCTAATACTATCAGGTCATGAAGTTTTCTGTGATGGTGTCCATCTCTACATTCTTAGTTTATTTCTGTTAAAAACATTAACTTCTAGCTCTTGTTGGTTTTGGATTGGCTTCTGTGGATAGAGCATTGGCGTGTGGACAGAAGGGTCCTGAGCACAAATCTGGGTTGCAGGCTCAATCCTCACTAGGGGATGTGCAGAAGGCAACCTATCATTAACTTTGAGCATAAGTATATAAACAGACATGCGACGGCAAGTTGCTTAATGGTGTGATTATGGTATCTTTAATTTTTTCTTTTCAGTTTCCATTTAAATTAACACTGATCACTTCTCTGCCTTTTGGCTAAGATCACATACAGTAAAAAAATTTACACAGAATATTACATTCTAAATATTTGTTTCTTAAACATGATGCAATACATACAATTTTGTATATTTGTATATGGTGGACAAGAACTGTAGATTTGTATGATGGAGTTAGCAAATACACTCAATATGACAAAATGTATTTTTTTGTACACATACATATTAACATGTATATTAACATGTATATATTTGGAGATAAGACAAGTTCAGGGTGAAATGGCCCAAAATGCTGGTGTTGATTAACACATGTATTATGTGTATTTGGCAATATCTAACCGATGCTAACATTTATCTGTGTGACTTTCCTGTAGGTTCAAAATTTTGCTTTTTATTCACTTGTCCTAGAGCGCTATTGATTAAAATCTGTGTGTTACCTTTATAATTTTTAAAGTTAGTTTTATAATTTTTAAAAGAAGACAAAAAAGATTTCTCACACCAATAAAACACAGAACTAGGTTAAACTGTACTTAACTTTTTATAGCTTTTATTTCTTCAGTACAAATGAATATTTTTTTTTTTATAGGAAAAGCTAAATCTCAGTTGCATCCATAGTCCTGTTGTTAATGAACTTATGAGAGGAATTCGTTCACAGATGGATGGATTAATACCTGGGGTAGAACCACGAGAAATGGCAGCTATGTGTCTTGGGTTGGCCCACAGGTGAGATTTAATTGAAAACAAAGTTGGCTTTTACTTAGTAAACAATTATATAGTACTGTTCTAAGCACATTCTACGATTCTTCCAGCAATAGTAGTACCCTCATTTTACAAATGCACTGGTAGGGTCCCTAGTGGTTTCCCTCCCTTCTGGTTGGCCCCGCCCCATATTCGAACTCCAGGACAAGGGGACAATTTGCATACTATACACTTTATTATATAGGTTATTCCTCCTTAGCTTTCTGTTTTCAGGTGTTAAACAGTACTGCGTTTTTTTTGTTACCTGCTGGTATAAGACATTAATATGCTATAATCTGAATCAATATAATCTGATCTGTACTATACAGCATTATTCTAGTTGTCATTCATAAATGAATGTTACAGAACTATGGGTTATAACAGGACAGGTGTATTATTTTCTTCTTAAATGTGTATTTTTTGGTCTTGCAACTGATTTTCTCATGTAGAAAAAGTAAAACTAAAACTAGCTCTGAGGGGAGGGATTTGGGTTTTACAAGTTTTTAAGGTATTAATTAAATGCTTTTTATAGATGCTATCTTAGTAATTTATCTTCCTTCTCCCCAGCTTGTCCCGATATAGATTGAAATTTAGTGCTGATAAAGTGGACACAATGATTGTTCAGGCAATTTGTAAGTATAATAAATGTGAGGTCTACTCTGTTCTGAATTTTCCCCCCTTACTGTTAAAACTATCTTTTATAATTCTGTTGAGAAAGAAAGTAACTAGAACTCTCTTTTAAATATTTTTAATTGATTTGGGGGGGGGGGCGTTAAACAGCTGCTTTTCACATGTACCCCTGATCAGGGATTGAGGCCACAACCTGAACATGTTCTCTGACTGGGAATTGAACCAGTGACCTTTTGGTGCTGGGACCAATATTCAACAAACTTAAGTCCCACTGGCCAGGGCATAACTAAAACTTTTTTTTTTTTTTTTTTTTAATATATTTTATTGATTTTTTACAGAGAGGAAGGAAGAGAGATAGCTAGAAACGTAGATGAGAGAGAAACATCGACCGGCTGCCTCCTGCACACCCCCTACCGAGGATGTGCTCACAACCAATGTACATGCCCTTGACCGGAATTGAACCTGGGACCCTTCAGTCTGCAGACCGATGCTCTCCCACTGAGCCAAACCAGCTTCGGCATAACTAAAACTAATAAGAAATTGGAAAATGCAGAATAGGAAAAGAAAAACTACCCATAATTTAGACAAGTTGGAAATAATGTGAATGTCGTTATAAGTGTAAACCAGTTCATTTGTTTTCCATAAAAATGCTAAAATTATATGAGGACTGTATTGTGTTGTTTTGCTTTTATCACTTGGTTTTATAGTAGGTCATTTCATATTAAGTGATTTTTTTTTTAAAATACTACTATGCATTTTTCAATTTTCAAAAGTCCTTTAAACAGCAATTGCATTTCTGGGTGTATACCCAAAAGAATTTAAAGCTGGTATGCAAACAGATACTTATACACCCCTGCTCATACAGTATCATTTACAGTATCAAAAGATAGGAATATATTATATGCCTGTTAACAGATGAGTGGACAAACATAATGGTATATACACATCCTTAAAAAGGAATGAAGTTCTAGTACATGCTACCTAAAACAGATGAATTTAAAAAAAAAAAAAAATGGTAAGTGAAATAAGCCACACTAAAAGGACTTGTGAGGTTTCTAGAATAGGCAAATACATAAAGAGACAGTAGAACAGATGACCAGGGCCTGGGGGAAGGTGAGGGTGAAGAGTTAGTTTGGGATGGTGAAAGGGTTCTCTAGTGGCTACACAATATCGTGAATGTACTTGATGCCACTGAAATGTACATTTGAAAATGGTTTAAGTGATCAATTTTATGTGAATCTACCACAATTTAAAAAATCCTTTTAAATTCCTGTTTTGTTTTTTATTTTAATCTGCTGCAGCTTTGTTGGATGATTTGGATAAAGAACTAAACAACTACATTATGCGGTGTAGAGAATGGTATGGCTGGCATTTCCCTGAATTAGGAAAAATAATTTCAGATAATTTGACATACTGCAAGTGTTTGCAGAAAGTTGGTGAGTTAACTTTATGTTTTAAAAACCCGAGTTAAAATTTTTTTTTCCTTAAGCTTCCCAGAATTTTTTACAACTAAAATTATATTTTATGTGTGTGGCCATATTAATATCTGTTAGATTTCAAGAACAGACAACTTTTATTTTGAAGGCCTGTGCAACAGAATGTGGATCTCAAATTTTTCTTTAAATGGCTTCTTCTAGTGAATATGTCTCATAATGAATTTTTCATTAATTAGGGCAACTACAGATGGATATCCATAATTAATATTAAAAACTATATTGCTTTTTGTATTGTTAGTGTTATAGTCTATATCAGTAATAGAGTAGTATTAGTAGAAGATGCTGAATATTAATAAATTAGTTACTTGGCTCATTATATTGCCATGTTATTGTCCCAAGAATTTATGGCCCTCACTTCTATATAATCTTAACTACCAATTGTCTGTCACAGTAATAGTTCTATCGAAGGGCTTTGTGTTGGTGGTGGGTTTTTCTTTTTCCCCCATTTATTTGTTTTTAAAAATATATATTTTATTGATTTTTTTACAGAGAGGGATAGCCAGAAACATCGATGAGAGAGAAACATCGATCAGCTGCCTCCTGCACACCCCCTACCAGGGATGTGCCCACAACCACAGTACATGCCCTTGACTGGAATCGATCCTGGGACCCTTCAGTCCGCAGGCCAACGCTCTATCCACTGAGCCAAACCTGTTTCGGCTATTAAATATATTTGTTTCTTGAGGAAGCTGATGGACGGGGAGGTTTTACTCTCTAAAATTAAACCTTTACATAGGACAATTACTAGGCCAAATTTGTTTGCTTTTTGTTTATGCACCTTTTTCATTGGCTTATCTCTGCCCCCCTTTTTTTGACTGTTTGGTGGCTTTTGTTATAATTCATTCAAAAGTGATTCTCCCTCATCCTCTGCAAACATTCCATAGGTGACAGGAGGAATTATGCCTCAGCCCAACTTTCTGAATTACTGCCCGAGGAAGTTGAAGCAGAAGTGAAAGCAGCTGCAGAGATATCTATGGGAACAGAGGTTTCAGAAGAAGATATTTGCAACATTCTGCATCTCTGCACTCAGGTAAACTGCATATAGAGAAACTAGTTGTGGTGGTACCAGCATTGCAATAATAATTTTCTGATGGCAGTGATGATTTTTAAACTTATTGTTCACCTGATAAATAAATATGAGGGTGTTCAGTCACTACCTCATCTGATGCCATCTTGATTTATATACTTAAAGTACTATACTTAAAAACTATTTGCGTTTTTGCATTGTTAGGATAATGATTATAAATTCATTAACCAGGCAGAGAAGGTAGCTTGAGTTATTTTAACTTCTATGTCTATAGCCTGTCGTGATTTTTTTCCCTTTCTTTCCTTTGGAAATAGCTGTACAAGAATCAGAGTGACACAAATGTCTAATCTTTGGAGGTTTTTAAAAAATAACAGTAATATTGGTTAATACTTTATTTACATACATATATATTTTATTGAATTTCTGAGAGGAAGGGAGAGGGGAGAGAGAGAAACATCAGTGATGAGGGGCTGTGCCATAGACGGGTGCCACAAGGCATTCAGTGCAATAATGCAACCGATCCCGGAGAAGCCAGCGGGAGCCCCGGGGAGGGTTCTCTTCTCTTTGTGAAGGGCAGAGTGCCCTGGAATGGGTTCCTTTCGCCCCAAGAGAAACATCAGTGATGAGAGAATCATTGATTGGCTGCCTCCTGCATCCCCTCTACTGGGGAGTGGAGCCTGAAATGCAGGGTTGTGCCCTTGACCATAATCATATCTGGGACATTTCAGTCTGCAGGCTGACACACTATCTACTGAACCAAACCAGCTAGAGCTTGGCTAGCATTTTTAGTTTACCAGTATTAAGTTGCTTACATACATCTATCTATATCTATCTATCTATCTATCTATAACAGATAAATATACTGATTAACCAAGACACCTTAATGGGTTGATCGGACAGGAGGAGATTGTACATGCAGCATTGGGGGCAGACAGCAGGGGCCTCCACTTGACTGCACTGGGGAAGGGCCTGAAAGCAGTTGCTGTGGCTGCAGCAGGTGCGGGGAGCGAGGCAGGGCCAGACCGGTGACTTGAGAGTGGTCAGTGCCACACGATTTCGAATTGCATGCTAGGCTCCTAATTATATACAATAAAAATCTTAACAGCAGCCCTTCTATAGGAACCTTGTATGCAATGATTAGTTCTGTGATAGATATAGGACTCTGAGGTTTTAGACTTGTAAAATTTAAACTGTACTCTCAATCATTTATGAATTATTCATTTTGTTCCTTTTACTAGGTGATTGAAATCTCAGAATATAGAACCCAGCTCTATGAATACCTACAAAATCGAATGATGGCCATTGCCCCCAATGTCACAGTCATGGTTGGAGAATTAGTTGGAGCACGGCTTATTGCTCATGCAGGTGATGATTTTAATGTAATTTGTAATGTGGATATTGAGTTTTTTTCTAGCAAGGACTTTTTAAAATCTTTAAACTACAGTTATTAAAGAAATTTTAGATAATAGAGTTAGGTAATATGTGGGTGAGGGCTTAAGGACCAGTGTTCGATGATGATTTTTACTTGTATGCCTGATTTCCTTTGGGATAATGAAGGCATCTTTAGTCACTACCTCTTCTGAGACACTTGTCCATTGTCAGAAATTTGCTGTTCATTAGAATAATCAGATGAATACATGAAGCTGCAATCAATTAACATTTTATAATAATAAAAAAAAAATCAACTGATGGTTACCAGGAGTGTTTGGAGGCTTGGTGAAAAAGATGAAGGAATTAAGAAGTACATACTGGTAGTTACCAGATAGTCCCAAGGAAGTTAAAGTAGAGCATAGAGAATATAGACAATAATACTGTTCAAACAAAATTTGAAACTGATTGGATCAAAACTTGAGTTTTGAGAAATCACAGCAGTTAAATGATACAGTCATGCACTACTGTATGACAGGGATACAGTCTGAGGAACTGGTCATTGTTGGGCCATTTCAACATTGTACGAATGTTAGAGAGTGCACGTACACAGACCTAGATGGTGTAGCTTCCTACGTTAACGTGGCCTACTGCTGTCATATATGTGGTCTATTGTTGACGGAAATGTCAGACTATATAAGCCTTAATCAAGAATGTGTTTCGCCCTGACCAGTTTGGCACAGTGGATAGAGCGTTGGCCTACGGACTGAGAGGTCCCAGGTTCAATACTTGTCAAGGGCATGTACTACCTTGGTTATGGGTATATCCTCAGTAGGAGGTGTGCAGGAGGCAGCTGATTGCTGTTTCTCTCTCATCAATGTTTTAACTCTATTCCTCTCCCTCTTTGTAAAAAATTAGTAAGATATATATATATTTTTAAATGTGTTTCACAATTGAATACGCTGTTTTATATTTTAATGTGTTTGACATACAAAAACATTTTAAATAAGGAACTTACAATAAAACTATATACATATATATATATATATATATATATATATATGGTGGTATTGTAAATACAGTAAGGTATTGGTTCATTATTTTATATTACTGGACACATAATCCATCACTAAAGATCTTAATGTGTCTCCTACAACCAAGTGTCTAAACTAGTATAGATACTTCATTGGTTAAATATGTCATCAGATATCCCCAGTTGTACGGATAGAATCATTTAAGATGATTTGCTGTCTGCATCCAAAATTTCATAGGTTTATCTAAATTTGTAGCAGATCTATCAAAGCAGCAACTTTTCCTACTTAATTTGTGTACTTATATCTCCATCCATATCTTAACTATGGGTAAACAAAAGTGTTTGGAGTTTATCACATGGTTCTATAAGATGTCCTAATAAGTTTCCACTTTTATGGGATTGTTGATTTTTTTTCATATCTGAAGTATATTTGATATTCAAAATCTCAAAAAATAGAGATTAGATTGAGGGTTGTCTGCAGATGTGTATGTTGATATTTAGCTGGAGACAGGCAGGACACACCCTGGAGTATCCTGGCTGGACCCTAGCAGCAAGCTCACCTATGGGTCAGATCTACCCCCTGGTGGTCAGTGCACATCATAGTGTGCAATAGAGGAGCCTTAGCATGTCATTAGCATATTACACGTTGATTGGTTGAATAGACCAGACACTTAGCATATTAGGCTTATTATATAGGCCCTTGTATGCTAATTAGAGTGAAAAATAATAAAACCATTTATCAGGCAAATATGTTAAATTGAACAAGCTCAATCTTCAGCTTATCATAGACATCATACTTTTGCTTGTGATGCTAATGGAAGAATCACAAATGTTGAGGCATCTGGATTTTTAGGAAATTCTACACTTAGAGAAAGTTTTTGTATTATATTAGATTTTTGTTCTGGTGGCTATAATAACCAGATTGTAGGTTCTGTGTTTAATGCATGGAACTTTGAAATAATTAAAAAATGACTGTAGCTACTTCTTTTCTCTTGAAGGTTCTCTTTTGAATTTGGCCAAACATGCAGCTTCCACAGTTCAGATTCTTGGAGCAGAAAAGGCACTATTCAGAGCTCTGAAGTCTAGACGGGATACCCCTAAGTATGGTCTCATTTATCATGCTTCGCTTGTAGGCCAGACAAGTCCCAAACACAAAGGAAAGGTGAGTTAGAGTTTTCGTGAGGTAGACTTTTCTCTCTTTTTTTTCTCCAAGCAATCATTTTTCCTCATACTCTGTAGTATGCAATGAATCTTTCTATTCTCATTAAATAGAGAATAGTGAATTCTTTTAACTTAAAAAATCATTCTATATACTGAAAGAAAAGGTTTAAAGAAAGTAATTTTGATGCTGTGAAAGCCATCTTATTTCCTGTGTCAGTAGTTTCATAGAATTCACTCATTGGTAAGGGGTACATCAAAAGTGTTCTTGTTCCGAAACTGGTTTGGCTCAGTGGATAGAGCGTCGGCCTGGCCTGCAGACTGAGAAGTCTCAGGTTCAATTCCGGTCAAGGGAATGTACTTTGGTTGCAGGCACATCCCCAATGGAGTGTGCAGGAGGCAGCTGATTGATGATTCTCTCTCATTGATGTTTCTAACTCTCTGTCTCTCTTCTTCTCTGTAAAAAAAAATCAATAAAACATATATATATATATTTTTTTTTTTTTAAGTGTTCTTGTGGCAGGAAACCAACTTAGCATACATAGATTTTGTAATTTTACAAATTATAAAAAAAGAATAGTCCTGCCCAGTGATGTGTCTATTTTGTAGGGCACATTTTATTTATTTATTTTTTTTATTTTGGAAAAACAGGGCATGTATTTTATTTTATTATTTTTTTAAGAAACGAAAATTTTATAAAATTCAAAGCAAAGTGATAGGAGAAATTAAGAGTTTGTTAATAAAATGTTAATTAGCTTGAAAAGGGGGCTGTACTTTTTCTGGTTGACATCATTGTGTAGAATTAATATCATTGAGTAGAAACTAAAGGAGGGAATTAGGATAGCTTGAACTGGTTTTAGCCATCACTACTAAAAATCTCTTTATCCACCAAAATGATGATGGTTGTACAGAACTAGTTAACCATTATATAGCATCAAAGATATAAGATAGGTGGCTTGATTTGTATGATTCCAAATGCTTTTGTAATTCCTGGTTTACAGGAAATCCTAGCATGAATGTTTCTAATTTCAAGTTCTCTGTTTAGATTTCTCGAATGTTGGCAGCCAAAACCGTTTTGGCTATCCGGTATGATGCTTTTGGTGAAGATTCCAGTTCTGCGATGGGAGTTGAGAACAGAGCCAAATTAGAGGCCAGGTTGAGGGCCATTGAAGATAGAGGGGTAAGAAACATACTCTGCCTATTGCAGAAGTGTTACCTGTTAAAAGTTAATCAGCTTAGTTCACCTGCTCAACAGTTTTGTTTTTGTTAAGTATTACATATGTCCATTTTCCCCCCTTCACCTCTTTAATTAGTTTTGTGTCTCATATATTCTTTTAGTGTCTACTGTTGACAATTTCCCTTACATTTAATGAGAATTGATGCATTAGAGTATATACTATAAAATTTTATCTTAGAAAATAATTTTTCTTTTTCTTAGATAAGAAAAATAAGCGGGACAGGAAAGGCATTAGCAAAAGCAGAAAAATATGAGCATAAAAGGTGAGTACATGTGAGGGAGATGGAAAGGACAGTTCCTACTTATTTAAATGTTAATTGTTGACAGCAGTTTTTGTGTTTTTTTTTTTTTAATTATTATAAAATTAAGCATCTCAATGCAACCCCCCCTTTTTTCTTTTCTTTTTTCTTTTTTTTTCTTTTTTTTTTGCCATTTATAGTTTTTCATATTCAGTCCTGTTATTTTAATCAAATACACACATTCATATATATTGTTGTAATAAGTACATATTGTATGTTTGTTTTGCCTTTTTAAAATATTTATCCTACTCATTTCTAAATATACATAAATATTTGGCATTCATAGTTCTTGTATAGTAAACAATATCCAAAAGAAAATTCAGAGTTAGTCAACATGTATATTTTTAAAAGACAAAAGAAAAGTTTAAAAATGGCTAAGACACATGATAAGGTAATTCAGAGAGAACCATACGATTTATAAAAGATATGTGTTAGGAGAGGTGTTCTGGTTATTATTTGAGGTGATGCTTAATACTGAGGAGGGTTGTGATGATGGAAGTAGAATGCAGGACAGTTTTTCTGGGAAGCAGTTAGACAGTATGCATCAAGAGCCTTAAAAATGTTTCTAGTCATTAACCCATAAATTCTATTTTTAGGAATCTTTTAGTTTTTTAAGAATTTTAATATGTGTGTGGGAAAAGCAATATATAGTATATCACAGTTATAAGTGTGTGTGTGCGTATATATATATATATATTTAAATATATACATTCAGAAAAATGGTTTTCCTTTATTCTGGAAAGAAACCTTACGTATTCAGTATGGACATTAATGTTTTCTCTTTTTTAAAATACGTTTTTATTTAGTTTAGAGAAAAAGAAAGGAAGAGGGATAGAGAGAGAGAAACATCAATGAGAGAAACATTCTCCACAACCCCTACTGGGGATTAAGCCTGCAATCCAGGCATGTGCCCTGACTGGGAATAGAAACCATGACCTCTTGGTTCGTAGGTCACTACTCAACCACTGAGCCACATTGGCTGGGCATTAATGTTTTCTTTTATATAGTTCATAAAGTTACCAAATTTCTCAGTTGACAAATATGGATGTTTGTTTTTAAGTTATGTTAATTTTTAATCTCTAAAAATTAGTCATTAGCCTGCAACAAGTCAACTTAAGAAACAGACAATGCTTTAGTTTGTTTTGTATAAATTTTTAATATTCTATTCTTATAACTTTGATCACATGCGCTTAAAACATTTAATACGTCACATTTTTTGGCACTCCCTTTTTTTTTTTTTTTTCTTTCTGCTACGTTAAAACCAAAGCAGTCGTTGGGTTTTAAGAACTTATGCATAGATATTCCCCTTTTGTTTCTCTACCTTTTGGGTTCTTGAGATGAGCCTTCTATATTAAAATTGATTGAAATCGTTTGGTTTGGTTTTCATTTAATTATATTATAGAGATCCCCCCCCCCCCATGCTAATTGAAATTTGTTTGTTATTTAATTGATTTTTAGAGAAAGTGGAAGGGAGGTTGTAGTGGGGGGAGAGAGAGACATGGATATGAGAGAGAATGCTGCTTGTATGTACCCAACTGGGGCCAGGGATCGAACTTGCAACCCAGGTAAATGCCCTTAATAGGGAAGTCAAACCCATGATGCTCTAACTGCCTCACCAGCCAGGGCTAAATATTTTTCTTACACTGTAGTCACTTGATTCAGAATTCATTTTGCTCACCACTTCTCTTGAAGTGTGATTAATCTACCTGGAAAATATTTAAACACTCCACCTTTTTGGAAACTTAGTTTTCATAAATTGCCCGAAAGCCACTAAACTGAAACAGCATTTTATGCTTATGTGTTATATACTAGCATTTCTTTTAAACATCTCTAAGGATATTTTAGTTACAGATATTTGTAGAGATTTTCTTAAACTCCTTGAACTCTTTCAGTGAAGTGAAGACTTATGATCCTTCTGGTGACTCCACACTGCCAACCTGTTCTAAAAAACGCAAGATAGAACAGGTAGATCAAGAGGATGAAATAATTGAAAAGAAGGCAAAAAAAGCTAAGGTTAAAATTAAAGGTTAGTTTGAATTTTTTAAATGTCATTTATACTCTTATTCCTTAAGTACAGACTTCATAAGTCTTAGTAAAATTTGTGCCATTGAACCTTATTGTGAAATCATCAGTATTGAAAATTAGTGTTATTTTAATTTTAATAAGACATCATGTTCTCTGAGAATAGTTAGGACATTGTTAAATTTATCAGATTTTATAGAGGTTCATTTCTATGAACATGTGGAATTATATATTACACTAAGTATATCAAACCAAAACTGGTTTCTACCACATGAACTTTTTTGAGAATCGACTTAAAATGGGGAAGAAAAAAAAATGCAGTTTTTAAATGGGTTATTGATAGATCTTTTTGTTACATGGATAATATAGGTTCGAGCCAGTAGAGGTGTTTTTTCATTATTTCTCTTATATTGAACCAAGTAGAGTCCTAATATACTATTAGCCTACTATCATAGTAATGCTATTTAAAAGATGCTCTCCGGCCCTGGTTGGCATTGCTCAGTGGTTAGAACGTTAGCCTGATCACCAATGGATTGGGTTGTGGTTTTGTTCCCGGTCAGGACCAGTGCAGAAGGCAACCAGTTGATGTGTCTCTCTCACATAAATGTTTCTCTGCCCCACTCCCACCTCCAACCTTTTTATTCTCTCTCAGAAGCAGTGGAAAAATATACCCTCAGGTGAGGACTAACAAAAAATAAAAAGGTGTTCTCAAACTAGGTTGGTGTGTTTCAGTGGTTGAGCATTCACCTATAAACCATGAGGTCTCAGTTCAGTTCCTGGTCAGGGCACATGCCAGAGTTACAGGTTCGATCCCCAGTAGTAGGCATGCAGGAGGCAGCCGGTCAGTGATTCTCTCTCATCATTGATGTTTCTTTCTCCCTTCCTGAAATTAATATATATATAAATATATATTTTTTTTATTTCAGAGAGGAAAGGAGAAAGAGAGAAGGGTAGAAACATCAATGATGAGAGAATCATTGATCGGTTACTTCCTTGCACCTTCTCAGGGGGGGGCCAAAAGGGTGGAGCCTGCAACCCAGGCTTGTGCCCTTGGTCATAATTGAACCCTTTAGTCTGGTGGCCGGCGCTCTATCCACTGAGCCAATCAGCTAGGGCTAAAAATATATTTTTAAAAATAATACTTCTGGCCAAGTAACTCAGTTGATTAGAGCATCATCCACATACACCAAGATTGGGGGTTCAATCCCCTGTCAGTACACATACAGGAATCAACCAATATGTGTGTCTCCCTGCCTCCCTCCTCTCCTCTCTCTCCGTCCCTCTCCTTTCTCTAAAATAAATAAATATTTTTAATTAAAAAAATGAAAGATATTTAAAAATAAATAAAAATACTAACAGGTGCTCTCCAGCCTGGCTGGTGTGGCTCAGTTGTTGAGCCATAGACCCATGAACCAGGAAGTCGTGGTTTGATTCCCGGTCAGGGCACACGCCTGGGTTGTGGGCTTGATCCCCAATAGGGGGTGTGCAAAATGCAGCTGATCGATGATTCTCGCATTAATGTTTCTCTCCTTTCTGACATCAAAAGGAAAGGGGGTTTGGCAGGTTGGCGCGGCTCAGTGGTTGAGTGTTGACCTATGAACCAGGAGCTTACTGGTTCAATTCTAGGTCAGGGCACATTGCTGCGTTGCAGGCTCAACCCCCAGTGGGGGGCGTGTGGGAGGCAGCTGATCAATTATTCTCTCTTATTGGTGTTTCTTTTACTTTCTCTTTTTCTCTGAAATCAATAAAAATATTAAAAAGAAAAAAAATAGGTTCTCTCCAATATACTAGACTGTCTTGCAAAGTTGAGAAGCAAGTATCCCTTTTTATTAGCTGGACCTATATTTAGTGCCTACCATATAGTCTTAGTAAGACAGTCATTAAAGCAATAGAATTTCTAAATAGTTCAGTGATCAAAAGTATATACCATGAACAAATGTGGGCTCCTGCCCTCGATGAAGAAAACATTATTTAATTCCTATGCTTCTGGGTGTTTTTCTTTTTTCTCTTTTTTTTAATGAATAATAAGATCTCTCAATTTATTAGTAGCTTTTGAAAGAACAAAACTCCAGATGTGTATCTTCACTTATATAACCAATAAGCTCTTCAAACTTAACATTTATGGATCCTCGCCACTTCCACTCTGATGCTTATCCTTGAATTGTGTTCACTTATAACCCACTGTATTCTTGCAGCAGATCTTCTTGATTCTTTGAAAATATAATCGTCTATCATACCTACCACAGCAGCCACACTGACTCTTGATATTCATTGAATCTGCTATCTCCCCCTTTCTTCCAAAATAACCTTAGCATTTGTTCTACCAGGAATATTTTCCTCAAGATTCATTGGGGGAAGGGGATTGTTTGTTTGTTTGTTTGTTTGTTTGTTTTTGTTAATCCTCACCTAAGGATTTTTTTTTTTTTTGAGAGGGTGGGGCAGAGAGAGAGAGTTAGAGAGACACATCAATTGATTGCATCTCGGAAGACCCCTACTGGATCTGGGGATCCGATCTGCAATCCGATCTGGGACCTTGACCAGAAATCAACTCGAGACTCTTGGATACATAAGCTGAAACTCTAACCACTGGGCAACACCAACCAGAGCAGGATTCATGCATTATGCATTCCTTACTTCTTTTAGGTGTCTGCCCAACTTCTGTGTAAAATGTCCACATGCATCACCTTCCTCCGTGGTGTTCTTCCTGCTTACTTTATTTGATTCCCACCTGAGGATATGTTTATTGATTTGAGAGAGATATTGATCCACTGACCCCCACGCATACATCCCAACCAGGGATCAGACTGGTAACTTTTTTAAAAATACATATTTTATTGATTTTTTTTTTTTTTTTTTTTTTTTTTTTTTTAGAATGGAAGGGAGAGGAATAAAGAGTTAGAAACATCAATCAGAGAGAAACATTGATCAGCTGCCTCCTGCACACTCCCCACTGGGTATGCGCCCAAAACCAATGTACATGTCCTTGACCGGAATCAAACCCTTGAGTCTGCAGGCTGAAGCTCTATCCACTGAGCCAAACCGGTGTGGGCCAGACTCGTAACCTTTTTGTACTCGAAGGAACCGCTGAGCTAAAGCCAGCCCAGACTCGTAACCTTTTTGTTACATGGGACAGTTAGTGCTCCAACCAAGTCACACCTGCCATGTCCTTCCTGGTTTATTTTTATCCTTTGCACTGATTCTGTGTAAAAAGACTGCGTCTTGATCATAGCTATCTATTACTGAATCTTCCTTCAAATGTGTTAGTATTTTACATTTATTATCTTATTACATCCTAGTAGTCCATTGCGATGTACATTGCTACACTTTATAGGTGAGGAAATTGAGTTTACAGAAATTAAACGACTCACTCAGAGCCCCTGCTTAGATTGCATTAATGCATGTTTTAACTCCATAGCACAAACTCTTAATCATTTCTGATGTAATTCCCTCTCTTCCCCCAAAACAGTGGATTTGCAGATGAGGTGATCTGTCTTAATTCTAATTTTTATGCATAGCTGTATGATCAAGGGTAATTTACTTATCTCTGAGCTTTATATCATTTGTAAAGTTAGTGATATTGCACTAGGTAAGTGTTAATAAACTCTGGATTATTGGCCAGAATGATAGGAGGAGACTTAAGATTCTAAAGGTTTGGGAGACTGGGGTCTGATATTGTTAATTGTTAAATCTTTACATTTACCCTATTCAGTTGAAGTAGAAGAGCAAGAAGAAGAAGAAGAAGGAGTACTAGTGGTGGAAGAACAGGAGACATCTGTAAAGAAGAAGAAGAAAAAGGATAAGAAGAAACACATTAAGGAAGAACCGCTTTCTGAGGAAGAACCATGCACCAGCACAGCGGTTCTTGTATGTTTTTTGTTTTGTTTTGTTTTAATTACCAATACTATAAAAGTTAGACTCATTACAAATGGATTTGCTTTGAGTAAGGGAGAGAATATGATTACTACATATAGCTTTCTTAGAGATGGCTCTTATATTTCAAAATGTTAATCTTTCCCTTACATTTATTTTTTATTTATTTTTTAAATATATTTTATTGATTTTGTACAGAGAGGAAGGGAGAGAGATAGAGAGTTAGAAACATCGATGAGAGAGAGTGATCGATCAGCTGCCTCTTGCACACCCCCCACTGGGGATATGCCCTTGACCGGAATCGAACCCGGGTCCCTTCAGTCCCCAAGCCAACTCTCTATCCATTGAGCTAAACTGGTTTCGGCTCCCTTACATTTATTTTTAAGAGAAATAGATCTATTCTTTACTTTGTATGAGGAAAAGTTTATTATCCATACATTTACAACTCTTTCAAAAGCATTCTTGATTATTTTCAGAGTCCAGAGAAAAAGAAGAAAAAGAAGAAGAAGAAAGGTAATGAGGACTAATGGAAAGGAATAACAATTGTATCACCTGGATACATCATCCTTAAGATTCAGTCAAGAGTATGCCAGAGATGCTCCTTAAGATGATGGAGGATGAACAGAGGTTTAGTAAAACAAAATGATTACTCATCTATAGCTTTTCAAACCTACTTGTGTCTTGACATCAAGCCTGTTAACTTTATTATGTCGTTATTTTTAGTCTTTGTAATACAAATAAAAATATTTTCTTGGTATTTTGAGGCAGTTCTGTGATCTCTATTTTAGGTAGAGAACCTTTGGCCCTTTCTATATTTTATTTGGTGTTTGATGATTACTGTTTTTGATAAGCATATCTGAAAAGAGAGGGTTATGAATTATTCATTTGAAGTGGTCTTTTTGTAAGGTAGTCATTAGATGGACCAATTAGATGGATCACTATGTTTCTCTCGCTCTTTTGGACTTTCTTTTTTTTTTTTTCTTTTCTGCTATCTTTCTGCCTCTGAATTTATTTAAATAAAGCTGGGTTTTGTGTTCAGAATTTCAAAATTAGGTGAGCAAAAATATTGGGCATCTCTTCAGAAAGAAATCACACCACTAACTTTATTTACTTACTTGCAATTCTGAAAGATGCAACAAAATAATACTTTTTCTTTTTTAAGAAGTGATTTTTTTTATTGATTTCAGAGAGAAAAGGAGAGGAAGAGTGAGATAGAAACACCAATTTCTGCCTTCTGCATGTCCCACACTTGGGATTGACCCAACAACCTAGGTGTATGCCCTTGACTGACTAGAATTGAACTTGGGATCCTTCAGTCCACAGGTCAATGCTCTATCCACTGACCCAAACCAAACTAGGACATAATAATTCTTAATATAGGCCCTGAATTATTTCTAAAGTAATCTATAGGGACTTTTTATAAAGGGTAATACTCATTTTATTAAGAATAAGTAAAGGGCCAAAACCGGTTTGGCTCAGTGGATAGAGCGTCGGCCTGCGGACTGAAAGGTCCCAGGTTCGATTCCGGTTAAGGGTATGTACCTTGGTTGCGGGCATATCCCCAGTAGGGGGTGTACAAGAGGCAGTTGATCGATGATTCTCTCTAATCGATGTTTCTACCTCTCTCTCCCTCTCTCTTCCTCTCTAAAAAATTAATAAAATATATATATTAAAAAAAAAAAAAAAGAATGAGTAAAGGGCCGAAACCGGTTTGATTCTGGTCAAGGGCATGTACCTTGGTTGTGAGCACAGCCCCAGTGGGGTGGTGTGCAGAAAGAAGGCAGCTGATGGATGATTCTCTCTCACCGATGTTTCTGACTCTATCCCTCTCTCTTCCTCTCTGTAAAAAATCAATAAAATATATATTTTTAAAAAATGGGTAAAGAGTAAAACAAGTTAAGCAAAAATAAAATGTTCGTAGGTATGCAGTATAAACCAGGACATAGAACACCAAAGAGAAATCTTTATTTATAAGAGATGGTGTTTAATATGTGAACAGCAGCCTGGTTGACAGCCACATATTATCATGACAGTTACAGTTCTCAGGATTGTTACGTCTTGCATTTCTGTGTATGCCAAGGGCATCATGCTGAAACCCAAATCAGTAAAAGCATACAAGGGGTTGGGCTAGTTAGAATGATTATATCTTTGAGTTTCAACTTCGCTTTTTTCCCCCTCACTTGAGGATATATTTTACTGATTTTGAGAGAGAGAAAGAACTATCAACTGTATTCTGGCCAGGGATTGAACCTGCCTCCTTTTGCTGTATGGGATAGCTCGCCAACCAAGCTACCTGGCCAGGGCTCCAGTTATGCTTTTAATGTAACTGGGCAAATAAACACACCCTGCCCTCCATTTTCTTATATATAAATCAGAAATAATGGTCAACATTACCTGTCATAACGTTTATAGAAATTAAGATGATATCAAACTTTAAGGGATGTAAATGCATTTCAAGTTTAGGTATTTTGAGTGAAGTAAATGCTGCATGAAGAACATGTAGCCATCTATAGACAACTTTCTATAACATACAGCTGATTGATTTTTCTCCCCAGAGAATGTTATCATTTTGCCTCATCCAGTAGTATCCCAGACACTTTATTGACTTTTAGATGAAAGTTGCTTGTGGACTGCCAAGAGCAGTAGAGTCAAAGCTTTCTGTCTGACATAAAGTAGACTTTGAGAACAGTCTGAGTTTTCTATAGGCCTGAATCAGAACTACCAGCTTTTTCTTTTTTTATACCCCCTTTTTTTTTTTTTTTTTTTTTTTTTTTTAATATATTTTATTGATTTTTGTACAGAGAGGAAGGGAGAGAGATAGAGAGTTAGAAACATCGATGAGAGAGAGTCATCGATCAGCTGCCTCTTGCACACCCCCTACTGGGGATATGCCCGCAACCAAGGTACATGCCCTTGACCGGAATCGAACCCGGGACCTTTCAGTCCCCAAGCCGATGCTCTATCCATTGAGCCAAACCGGTCTTGGCTATACCCCCTTTTTTTTTAATAAATTTTTCTCCATCAACAGAGCTCTCAGCTTTAAGTGCCAAAGTCTGGACTGTTTAAAGCACTAGCCAAACGGGAAATGATGTTTTTTTTTGTGTGCTAAAATTGAAGCACTGGTCCTATTGAAGAGCCTAGCCTGAAATGGGAAGCTCAGGTGAATTTTATATACCTAATTTCATCAGCAAATTTGAAGAATTTTCTTGTAACAGCCACATAAAATAATCCCTGCTTAAAGACTTAACTCATTCTTCATTGCATTCTATAACCTTCTCTTCACAATTGTAATTTTATATTTTCTGGTTTAAACTACTGTATTTTCCCACTGTCTTCTGGGTCCTCAGTATGCTTACCAAGATTTTGGCTCAGCCGTTTTTGTCAGAGCTCCCTCCCCCTAAGAACTTTTTGCAGTTCTCTGTCCACTTGTTGCTTCTCAAGGCCATAAGTCTCATCTTTTAAGACTTAGCTTTGACTCATCCTCTGTCCTCTGTTGTATCTCTTATGATTCTGACAAGTGCAAGCTGTTCTGTGTTGGGACATTTTCTTAGCCTGAAAATTGGAATCTTGTTGAAATACGTGGTAGTGGGTGTATGGTTTATCATTGTATTTTCTGTTTGCTTGAAAGTGATCATAATTAAAAGTCTTATTTTTTTTGAAGCAGTAGCATGCCATTTATTTTGATTTAATTCTGAGTTCTTTATCGCTGAAAATTCTAAGATACTTGTACAACATTCTTGGTCATCAAGCATTTGGGATGTCCACTAGAGGCAAGGTACCTACTAACTAACCACGAGAACGCAAAGAAGATGTAGCAGCTGCTACCCTCAGGTAGTTCACAAAGTGAACCTCAAACCCTTCTGAGGAAGATGGTCATGCTGCTATGTAAGTCCCTGCGTCCTTCAAGAAGTGGGAATGCAGGGAAGCAGAAGTAGAGATCTCGATAGAAGATGAGAAATACAGATATTTTGAAAGGAAAGTTGTGAAGTGCAATTAGAATTGATGGGAGAGAAATCATCACTCTTGCTCTACCTGTGAAAAGATGCTGCACTCTGAAAAAGTAGAAAACAGCAGCAGCAGAGACCTACCTCTTGGTAATTGAGTTGGAAGTGGCTACATTCTATTGGTTCCCATATCCCCACCCTGAAACTGTTCTCCCAACATCCTTTGAGTTTTGGCAATTTGGTGTTCACCTGGAGAGCCAGGCTGAACCATAGAAGTCTAAGTAAGCCATCACATGAATTCTTAGGACTCAAGACCTGCCTTACTAACCTGAGACAAGAAGCAGAGTGGTTTATATCGGGTAAATGTGTCTGACTCCAGCAAGAGGTGGTCAGACAACAAATGCATCTATTTATATCCTATAATCTGCTGGGCCAGAAGCCATGATGGAGAGGCCACAAACTGTCAGAATGGGGAGGTCCCTGCTCTAGCGGTCAGAGAAAATATGTCCGAAAGTCTTGCATAAGCCAAAAAGTACTATATAAATTCATATCCTTGCTGCTGTTATGAGCTTGGACAAGTCAACATGTGCCTTCTCTAAATTTTAATTTCTTCACCTGCAAGATGGAAATAATTGTTTATCTCATTGGCTCTTGGGAACTCATAATTTATGCAAGAATTTCTTATAAAAGAAGAAGTATAAACTATTAACTCAAAATCTTTTATACTTAAAAATGGGGAGACCCTAGAGTTACATATTGCAGGGGAGAAGTCTGGGAAGCATTATGGAGCCTTCTATGGTAGCCACCAGCCATCCATTTTTAAAAATATATTTTCCTAGAGGAAGAGGGAGAAACATCAATGATGAGATAGAATCATTGATTTCCTCCTGCATGTCCCCTATTGGGGATTGAGCCTGCAACCCTGGCATGTGCCCTTGACCAGAACTGAACCTGGAACCCTCTAGTCTGCAGGCCAATGCCAAACCTGCGAGGGCCAGCCAGCCATTTACCAGACTTATTTCTCTTATCTCTGGGCACATAACTAGACTGTATTACTCAACCTTCCTTGTAGTTAAATGTGACTGAGTTTGAGTCAATGGAATGAGTGGTGGTAACTCACCACTTGTAATCCTGGTCCATAAAAATGAAGTTGTCAGTGCCCTATTCTGACGCCCTGTATTGATCAGACTAACTAATCTTGGGAGCCAGGTGTTAAGATACAGAAACTATAAGGTAAAAAAAGTGGTGCTCAGAAACACCACCACTGGCTTGGAGCTATCCACTAATCAGGAACATCCATTTTGGACATTATAGAGAGAAATTTTTGTTACCTTTGGGATATTATAGCTTTAAACATGAAACTGCTGATATATTTTTCCTTTAAAAATGCAATATGATTCAACCTAATATTTTTATTTGTTTCAGAAGCTAATATAACTTTAAATAATTTTAGAGAAACTTTTAAAAATTTATTATTTGTTTTTCAACATTTTTTTTTAACCCTCACCTGAGGGTCTTTTTCCATTGATTTTTAGAGAAAGTGTAAGAGAGAAGGAAAGACAAGAGAGAAATATTGATGTGAG